GGCCAACACCCCCACCTATGGGTGCATCAGTGATCTGGCTGCTCCCCTCAAGATCCAGTAACGTGACACTGGGTCTCACCGGAGCTGCCGCTACACGCTTCTCCCTCCAGGCACTGGGGCGTGCGCACAGAGTGGCCAGCCGGGAGCAGTCCAGGCACATGGCTCACAACTAGCAAGAGCCGCATTTCTTTGAGCAAAGAGCCACATGCGGCTCAAGAGCCGCAGGTCGGCCACCTTGGTGTTGAACTATCGGCCATGTTCTAAGGGTTTGTCTACACGGGGAAGTGACTGGGCTAGTGTAACACCCGATGTGAACACACTATGCCGGAACAGAAGTGACTTGAATCTGGTTTAAACACCTCCTGCAGTTTATACACACAAGCAACCCGCTTACATGGCTGGGGAAACCTAGAGTGGCCTTAAAGTGAATGTAACTAACGTCTACCCCTTTTTTAGGCCCCTTGGTGAGGCCCGCATGGTACGACGGGCTCTTGGGGTACGTCTACACTAGAGCGGCGCAGCCACACCCCTGCAGCGCTGTAACGCTGAACATGGTACCGGCTGTTCTCCAGGTTTGCAGAGACCACAGGCTGAAACCCTCTGCCTTAGAGAGACCCAGGCGTCATTATGCAAATCAGAGTGCTTCACCCAATCAGAGAGCGGGGCTTTGAATATGCATCACTAGATGTGTGGGACAGGAACGGCACAGCTAATCCCAGCTGAGCAGAATACTCCAGTGTTAAAGCACTCTCGCATATTCCAGCACTTTTATTTCTCTTTACCACGGAGAAATATCTCTGTTAGACAAAGCCTGTGCGGCCATTCTCCGACGACCAGGAGCATTTCGCTTGAGATTCGGGGCAGCAAGCTACAGCTGGGGGTGAAATCTAGACCCCACAGAAGTCATTGCCAAAACCCCCACTGACTTCACCGGGGCCAGGGTGTCTCCGATATGAGGAGTGTTAGTGTGTAGTAGGCAAGTTAAATATCGGTTAACTGAATAGTCGGTAAACTCATTGGAACTGATCTAGGCTGCCTGCCTACCTGGCTCCTAATGCACTTTAAATGCAGAGCCACATCAAGGATAGGTCCTGAATATGGCATGAGCCAGGACTTAGTCTAGCTGCTGGCCAGCCTGCTAAAAAATTGACTGGCAAAGGGGGGAGGGGAGGGAAATGCCTGTTGTCTAGAGCATTAACCTACACGCTTTTGCTTACTGGTTAATCAGTTCATCGACTTCACTGTTCCAAGCCTGTGCGGCCATTCTCCGACGACCAGGAGCATTTCGCTTGAGATTCGGGGCAGCAAGCTACAGCTGGGGGTGAAATCTAGACCCCACAGAAGTCATTGCCAAAACCCCCACTGACTTCACCGGGGCCAGGGTATCTCCGATATGAGGAGTGTTAGTGTGAAGTAGGCAAGTTAAATATCGGTTAACTGAATAGTCGGTAAACTCATTGATTCTTATTGGTTACTTAACTATTCTATAGCCCCTGCTAAAAAATTGACTGGCAAAGGGGGGAGGGGAGGGAAATGCCTGTTGTCTAGAGCATTAACCTACACGCTTTTGCTTATTGGTTAATCAGTTAATCGACTTCACTGTTCTATCCCTAGTGTGGAGTCAAGACAAAATTAACCGATGAGCCTGGGCTCCTAGGATAACCCTCTTGGTTACTCGCAGTCCCTCCCTCCCCCCACTGTCTCTCTATTTAGGAGGCAGAAGCCGGTATGTGAGGGAACTGGCTTTTAAAATGGCTCCCACAGAGCCATCTGATCCCCCCTGCTGCCCGCCACAGAGGCAGTGGAGTGGGGGGGAGCTGGCTTCCAAGCTGGCTACCTGTGAACACCTGAATCAGAGGCAGCAGCAAGGGGAAAACGGCGCAGGTTCCTGCTCAGCCAACTGCCTCCTCCCTGCCTTTGATACAGTGGCATCGGGGGGGAGGGGGTGAAAACGGGAGCTGGTGCTTGCCTTCCTTCTCTCCCTCCCCTCCGCCCCTGCTGTAAACATGTATCCACTGGCAATTTCAGCAGATACACATTTACACAATTAAACGCATTTTAACATCCCGGTCCATATCCCACTCCCCTGCCTCCCCATCAGTCCCTTCCCCTTTTTTGTGAGGCATCTGCGATACAAGATTCTAGCCCAGTAAACATGTATCCACTGGCAATTTCAGCGGATACACATTTACACAATTAAATACGTTTTAACATCCCGGTCCATATCCCACTCCCCTGCTTCCCCATCAGCCCCACCCTTCTCGTGAGGTGTCTGGGATACGAGATTCTAGCCCAACCTCCGGCGTTAGGGCATTTTTCTGTGCAGCAGGTTCACAAGGACAATAGCGCAGATCTGGAGTCCCAAGAACACCCCCACAAAAATGGCTTTCCAGTGGCAAGGCCTGGGAGCTGTTCCTGTGAGGGAGAAAGAACAGAGGGTCAGGGGGATGGGACTTGCCTGCTGGCATCCATGCTCACACTCTGAATTCCCGCATTGCTGCCTACCAGAGCAGTGCACAGGAATGAAAAGCAGGCCTGCGGCCACTGTGTTTATCATTCTGCCCAGAGACCTGGTTCTTCCGTCAGTTACGCAGCAGTAAGTCGGGGGCAGACACGCTGATGCCAGCAGAGCTAGTATAAAGCCGGTCAGTGACCAGTCACGCCCGACGGCCACTGTGTTTATCATTCTGCCCAGAGACCTGGTTCTCCTGTCAGTTACGCAGCAGTAAGTCGGGGGCAGACACGCTGATGCCAGCAGAGCTAGTATGAAGCCGGTCAGTGACCACTCACACCCGGGTGATACTCACTTGAGCTTTGGCAGATGCTCTGCAGGTCGGGAGAGATGCTCTTCTGGTCTGCAGGGTTGCTGGCCGTGCAGGTGAAGTTAGAGGCCAGGGGGTTGAGCGGCAGGGACAGCTGGAGGCTCCTGCCATCAGGGCTGAGCTGGTACCGCTCCTGATCGCCCAGGTCTCGCATTGGGCTCCCTCTCCTCCAGGAGATGTTAACCCCTACCCTGCCCGGCACCTGGCACTCGTGCTGGAGAGCGAGGGGCTCCTTATCTCCGGCACCGGCACAGGCTCTGCAATGCAAAGAAACAAATGAGAATGAAAGACTCTGGGGGGTGGATTCCGATTGGCACAGGGGACGTCTGCGCCGGGGGGAAACCAACCACCTGGCGGGGAGTCTCAGAGCCCGGCTCAGCCAAATGGGCCCAGCTATGGTGCTCAAAGGAGCAGTGGAGATGTTCCTGTGTGGGCTGAAGTTCCGGCCCCAAGACCCACTCCTGCGGCCAGACGACACCGTGTGGGCTCCAGCCCCAGTAGGAACATCCACGCTGCTATTTTGAGCTAAGTGACCAGGCTCCAAGTCTAGATGCTGCCTGGCAGTGGGCCCACTTTACACCTCTTGAAGGCCCCTTTTCACGGCCAGAATGGGCTGAAGGGTCAATGATATAAATGAGTGTCGCCCCAGCAGGCTGCTGCAAGCGATGGGCCAGTGCAAGACAGGCTGAAGCTATGAATGGTTTGCAGAGGGCTGGGCAGGGCTGGGAGAATGGGAGATGTGACCAGGGCTGCCTGTAAGCTGGGTGCTTGTGCAGCCACTCAGAAGGGATTCCAATGCTGCCCACCTGATTAGCAACCCCCACAACTTAGTTTGTATGTCTATGGTTGGTGCACATCTGCATAGGCTTTGGTGCACATAACAAAATTTATTCTACATGTGAATGGGGGGAAAAAATTGAGGGAACATTGGAAGCTATTCCTGGAAATGACTGAGATGATAGAATCATAGAACCATAGAGCTGGAAGAGACCTCAGAAGGTCATCAAGTCCAGCCCCCTGCCCTAGGCAGGACCAATTCCAACTAAATCAACCCAGCCAGGGCTTTGTCAAGCTGAGACTTAAACACCTCTAGGGATGGAGATTCCACCACCTCCCTAGGGAACCCGTTCCAGTGCTTCATCACCCTCCTAGTGAAATAGTTTTTCCTAATATCCAACCTGGCCTTCTCCCACCACAACTTGAGACCATGGCTCCTTGTTCTGCTATCCGCCGCTACTGAGAATGGCCTTTCTCCAGCCTCTTTGGAGCCTCCCTTCAGGAAGTTGAAGGCTGCTATCAAATCCCCCCTCACTCTTCGCTTCTGCATACTATACAGACCCATCCTTCCTCAGCCTCTCCTCGTGGGTCACATGCTCGAGACCCCTAATCATTTTTGTTGTCCTCCGCTGGACCCTCTCCAATGTGTCCACATCCTTTTTGTAGTGGGGGGCCCAGAACTGGACACAATACTCCAGATGTGGCCTCACAAGAGCTGAATAAAGGGGAGTAATCACGTCTCTGGATCTGCTGGCAACGCCCCTCCTAATGCACCCTAATATGCCATTAGCCTTCTTGGCTACAAGGGCACACTGATGACTCATATCCAGCTTCTGATCCACTGTAACCCCGAGGTCCTTTTCTGCAGAACTACTGCTTAGCTGGTTGGTCCCCAGCCTTTAACAATGCCTGGGATTCTTCCGTCCCAAGTGCAGGACTGTGCACTTGTCCTTGTTGAACCTCATCTGATTTCTTGGGGCCCAATCCTCCAATTTGTCTAAGTCACTCTGGACCCTACTCCCTGCCACAGAGGCAGTGCAGTGGGGGGAGGTGGCTTCCATGCTGGCTACCCACAAGCACCGGGTCCCTGCCCTCCCCTGTGCTGGTGCCTCTGAATCAGAGGCAGCAGCAAGGGGAAAAGGGCGCAGGTTCCTGCTCAGCCAACTGCCTCCTCCCTGCCTTTGATACAGTGGCATCGGGGGGGAGGGGGTGAAAACGGGAGCTGGTGCTTGCCTTCCTTCTCTCCCTCTCTCCCCCCTTCCCCCCGCTGTAAACATGTATCCACTGGCAATTTCAGCGGATACACATTTACACAATTAAATACGTTTTAACATCCCGGTCCATATCCCACTCCCCTGCTTCCCCATCAGCCCCACCCTTCTCGTGAGGTGTCTGGGATACGAGATTCTAGCCCAACCTCCGGCGTTAGGGCATTTTTCTGTGCAGCAGGTTCACAAGGACAATAGCGCAGATCTGGAGTCCCAAGAACACCCCCACAAAAATGGCTTTCCAGTGGCAAGGCCTGGGAGCTGTTCCTGTGAGGGAGAAAGAACAGAGGGTCAGGGGGATGGGACTTGCCAGCTGGAATCCATGCTCACGCTCTGAATTCCCGCATTGCTGCCTACCAGAGCAGTGCACAGGAATGAAAAGCAGGCCTGCGGCCACTGTGTTTATCATTCTGCCCAGAGACCTGGTTCTTCCGTCAGTTACGCAGCAGTAAGTCGGGGGCAGACACGCTGATGCCAGCAGAGCTAGTATGAAGCCGGTCAGTGACCACTCACACCCGGGTGATACTCACTTGAGCTTTGGCAGATGCTCTGCAGGTCGGGAGAGATGCTCTTCTGGTCTGCAGGGTTGCTGGCCGTGCAGGTGAAGTTAGAGGCCAGGGGGTTGAGCGGCAGGGACAGCTGGAGGCTCCTGCCATCAGGGCTGAGCTGGTACCGCTCCTGATCGCCCAGGTCTCGCATTGGGCTCCCTCTCCTCCAGGAGATGTTAACCCTTTCCCCGCCAGGCACCAGGCACTGCAGGGTGATGTTGCACTTGGCTGCCGTGCTGGAGAGCGAGTGGCTCCTTATCTCCGGCTCCGGCACAGGCTCTGCAATGCAAAGAAACAAATGAGAATGAAAGACTCTGGGGGGTGGATTCCGATTGGCACAGGGGACGTCTGCGCCGGGGGGAAACCAACCACCTGGCGGGGAGTCTCAGAGCCCGGCTCAGCCAAATGGGCCCAGCTATGGTGCTCAAAGGAGCAGTGGAGATGTTCCTGTGTGGGCTGAAGTTCCGGCCCCAAGACCCACTCCTGCGGCCAGACGACACCGTGTGGGCTCCAGCCCCAGCAGGAACATCCACGCTGCTATTTTGAGCTAAGTGACCAGGCTCCAAGTCTAGATGCTGCCTGGCAGTGGGCCCACTTTACACCTCTTGAAGGCCCCTTTTCACGGCCAGAATGGGCTGAAGGGTCAATGATATAAATGAGTGTCGCCCCAGCAGGCTGCTGCAAGCGATGGGCCAGTGCAAGACAGGCTGAAGCTATGAATGGTTTGCAGAGGGCTGGGTGAATGGGAGATGTGACCAGGGCTGCCTGTAAGCTGGGTGCTTGTGCAGCCACTCAGAAGGGATTCCAATGTGGCCCAGCTGATTAGCAACCCCCATAGCTCGGTTTGTGTGTCTATGGGTGCTGCACACAACAAAATGTATTGTGCACATGAATGGGAAATTAGCACCCCCAACACCGTTCTGGCTATAGTGCCACACGATGCAGGCTAGATTTCCTGGAGGAAGGGTGGCAGTTATGCAAATCTGAGGGCTGGGTTACAGCCTCCCCCCTGCACCGCCTCCTCCACTGCCGTGTGCAGGTGGGGCCGTCCTCCTGCACCGCCTCCCCCTCTGCCTTGTGCAGGCGGGGCCGTCTGAAACCCAAAGGACCTGATTCCTCCATATGACACTTTAGTGTGTGAGACACAAGCTCTTACCCACAGGGCCCTGTGCCCTGGACACTGGGCTGTAGGGAAGCACATTAACAGCCCGGGAAGACAATTTCACTTAAAACTTAAGTTAAATATGATTTTTAACAGGCACTTACCATAGACCGTCAGGAGAAAGGCCTGATCCTCCACAATGGAGACTGTTGTCTTAATCCGAGCCTCATAAACGCCGCTGTCGTCTAGCTGCAGAGCCTTGATCCTCAGCGAGGTCGCGTTGTGCATTTCTAGCCGCTGCTGAAACTGATCTTTGGGATTGGGCCGCTCAAATCCCGCACTGGTGAACTCAGCCAGCTGAATCGTATCACCCGTCCCAGCACCAAAGCTCCATTCGACTGTCCTTACCTTTCTCCCAGGGAATGGAACCACAGACAGCAAGACTGATCCACCTAGAATCCCATTCACGTGGCGGCGGGGAGTCGGTGCTTGGGCTAATCCAGGATCTGAGAAACAGAGCCCAAGGGACCGAAGTTGTGGGGGGCAGGATTTGGCACTGACTTCCTCACTCGCTGCAGCACAAGCCAAGAGAACAAACCAATGGGTGCTCAGCCCGATCCCCAGCTGCAGGGTCTAGTTTTGGCCTCGGAGCTGACACGAGGGACTTTGACCCTTGGTGCTTCTAGCACAGCTATCAACGGGGCATCTTGGCGGGTACCTCACAATCATTCATGTGAGGCAGGGCTGTTGTGTCCACTGTGCAGGTGGGGAAACCGGGGCACAGAGCAACTGAGTGCCTCACCCACAGTCACACAGGGAGCGTGTGGCAGAGCCGGGAATTGCACCCTGGATTCCCAAGTCCTAAGCTAGTGCTGTAACCACTAGGAAACCCTCCCTCTCTGCTGCTTTTTCCACCTCCCCTTGGGAACACAAAGCCCGACATCTCCATTTCTGTTCCTCCCAGTTCTGGGGACAAAACAGCCTCCAGATCACTCTCCCACCCATCTCAGGGAACAGAAACATCTCACCCTCCTGGAACCCAGTGCCAAGTGGGGGACTCGGCCTAGCAGTCGAATGTGGAAGGGAACCAGCTCTCAGAGTAAGGAGGGAGCCCAACACGCATTGGCCAGGCGCTGCTTGTGGTTACGCTGCTGTAAATCCAGAGTCACTTCACTGAGCTCAGCAGAGCAATCCTGGATTTGCACCAGTGTCAGTCTGTGGTTTCCAAGGTTCCCCACGGCACGAAGCTGCCGCATGTCACAGCCGTAACGGCCCCATCACTTACCTGGGGATCGGAAAGCCAGGGCCAGGAGGGCGAGCAGAGGGAGCCGAGTGTGGCCCATGCCCTCGCAACGGGGGAGATTCACTTCCTCGGAGCTTTGCTTCCTGTTGCTGGTGAGGAAGGTGCTGAGACGCCAATCACATCCACGCAGCAGCCACTTCTGACCACAAGTTACTGGGGTCACTTCCTCGCTCTCTGCCACAGGCCATCTCTCCTCCCTCCTGCTGA